CTATTTGACTTCATATTTAATAAAATTAAAGTTAAAGTTAAATTAAAGTTAATTGCACCCTTCATTATGCGCAACTATGGCGCAAGTTCCTCTCTAACGGTATTTGATCCAAGGTGGTTTCTTTCTAATTGACGTTCGACGCAACGTCTTGAAGCCGAGTAGAAATAAGCAGACGGACATTTGCAAAGAGTCGCCGGTATTCATACCATTGGTTACAAGTCTCGATCTTTATAGGAGCTTTTCTCTGCAAATGAGGTGGAACTCACTATTTGTCAACCTAGATCCCTTACTGCACGTTTCTTTACAACCTTATATCTTTGTAAACGTCAGTTGCCTTTCTTCGATGTAGAATTCTTCGTAACCATGTAGCTTCGTAATAACATTTCCGGGCACATAGACAAAACAAATCACACACTACTCCGGAAATCGCACTTCCCATTCGTCATTCAGAAGTTTTCCAATCTTGAGCATGACATTGCTGGCATTTCGTGGCGGTATTTGGCGCAGCACATAAGCCACCATCATAGCGAAGTGGTGGAACCCATCCGGTTCTGCTGGCTGCTGGCTCCTTGCCACGAGATACTGGCCCAGCAGCGCCGTCTCGGGGTTCACTTCCGGGTCATCCGCGCGCTCCTCGCGTTGTCTGTTTCCCTGCTGGTTCGCCTGGAATGCTGCAACGTGGGCAGCTCGAACAGCGTCGTCCGCACGCCTCCTTTGCTCGTAGGCTTGTTGCCGTTGCTGAGCCACCTGTTGCTGACGGTCGCGGGCACCACGGCCTGCTCCACCGCCCCGCGGAGCACCGCGTACGTAGTCGCCGGCGCCCTGCACTCCACCACCGCGACCCCCGCCGTCTAGTGGAGCTACACCGCCCCTGCCGCCCTGGTGTCCACCACCTCGAACATTATTGCCACGGTTGCCAAAGCCTCCTCGGTTAGGCAGAGGACTTCCCCGGTTGACGAAGCCTCCCCGGTTAGGCACAGGACTTCCCCGGTTGACGAAACCTCCCCGGTTAGGCAGAGGACTTCCCCGGGTGACGAAGCCTCCCCGGTTAGGCAGATGACTTCCCCGGGTGCCAATAAAGCCTCCCCGGTTGATCCGAGGACTTCCGTGGTTGGACAGGACATGCTGTCAAAGTTGGGGAGAAGTTCGCCATCGTGCGGTACGTCGCGACCGAGGCCAAATAGGCCACCGCGGCTACGGTTTCCGATGTTCCGTCTAACTCTGCCAATTATAGTAGAGCGTGGCGTTTCACCGCCGGGCGTGTGCGAAGCGTCCAGAGTCTCGGTCAGTTGACTCCCGCCAAAGCAGGAGGGTGTGCGGACGGGTAGACTAGACCGATTGCTGTGATGGCTGCCTGTAGCGGAAGGAGCAGTACTGCCGCCGCTGGAGCCGACGACGGAGCCGACGACGGAGCCTGTTGGGTGGACCTCCTCGTCCTCGAGTCCCTCTTCAGTCACGCCACCACCGTCGCCCCCGTCGTGTCCGCCACTACCGTCGCCCCCGTCGTGTCCGCCACCACCGTCGGCCCCGTCGTGTC